TTAGACCCAAGGGAAATCTCTGAATTGTAATCTAGTCCTCATGTAGTTGTGGCGTCTTTTATTCTGCTGAGATTTCTTGTAAAGTTTGAGTTGCGTGCTCAGGTCGTCTGTTGGCAGACAGTTTTCGGAAGTGACGAACTTTGATTTACGACAAATCGTTCTGTTGAATTTGGAGTTCCCAATTTCTTCCGGATTTGATAAAGGAGGGCGACGATCGCTTTCGGTTGCATGTCCTAGAAAGTCGTTTGAGAAGAAAGATTCGTCGGAATGATCAAAGCTGTCCGAGGCATCAGAGTAAGACTAAATAAGTGGAATTTGCGGTTGTTTCTCAAGATAGAGGGTTTTTGCTTCTCGCCATTGGCTCTCTGAACTTCATACTTCGTATTAAATATGAGTTTGGAAATAGTTATATCCCGTCTCATGCTCCCAATGCATCTCTTCCTCTTGCTCTAAAATACTTGGTAGATAATTCAACAAAATTAGAAAATAATATCAAAAAATGATTGATATCAAAATTGTGAGGGCTCGAGTAATGTCAGGCGTGTGGAGTCTCCACATCAATCAGACTGTCTGCGCGATTGTTGATCGTTGATCCCTACGTTGAGGTAGATTGAATCATCGCTCGGAAATCCTTCGGCCTGCTGATTCGTCCGCTGTGAGCTGTTGGGGGCGGTAGCTTGCTAGAGCTTTTATTCTCTGTTCGATCTTGACCCTGCGCACCCACAGCCACCAGCATAAGAAGCATAACCGGTGAGTCAGCTTTAGCCTTTCCACCGGTCCCCTGCGTACAGTGTGCAGTTACAGATTTTTGAGCAGCGGCGACATCCCTATCCGCTAAATTGGCCGCCGACGGAGATGCTGGACTTCGTCTCCGGATTCTTCCGGCCCCGGACGGATTGAATTTCTGATTAGGTGTTGTTTCTGGTTCCCTGTCCGGCTAAATTGTCCATATGACACTGTTGCGCAATAAGGGATTTCGAGAGTCTCTATTTTCCTGAAACCTTGGGTGCCTTCATGTTTAAGGAATTGTGAATTTCTGAAGGCACACACCCTAGTGTGCCTTCATGCAGAAGCTGGTCACCATCAGCTTCTAAAAAACTGATTCTAGTAGTAAATTAGGGGGTGTTTGGAACTGATTCTACTTCTTTTTCTTTTTTAAAGTAGAAGCAAAAGAGTTCGTATACCGTGGGACCATCCCACGATGAGCATCGTGCTCCAAACTCAAAACGGCGCAGTTTTGCACTTAAAAAAATCTCGCGTGAACAGTACACGCGTGAAAAGTACACGCGTGTACAGTAATTTTTTTTATTTTTTTCTTGTTCGAATAGCAGAATGATGTAACTCGTGTGTAAAGAAATGTAACTTACGTATATAAGAAATGTTACTCCAAACAAGTTAAAATGTAACTTGTCTAAAACACTGTTTTCAATGTAAACTATAAAAAAGAAATGTAATTGCTTAATTGCTTTAGCTAAATAGTAAATATGTTTTGTTTTTAACATTTAGATGTTTTAAAGAAATAATATTTTTCCCAAAAAACACTTTTTTTGCAAAAAAAGAAAAATTGATTTTACCAAATGTTTTTTTTGTTTTAATAAAAGAGGTTTATTTTGTAATGTAACTCGTGTTATGGAAGATGTAACTCACGTTAATAGAATATATAACTCATATTTATATAAAATGTAACTTGATAAGATAAGTCCAAATGTAACTCATGCACATGAATGATGTAAATCACGGATAAAAAGATGTAACTCGCGAATAAAAACATGTGTTTTCATATGTAACTTGAATCATATCATAACTTGATTTTCTTCTTTTCTTGCTTCAGCAACTTGAAATCAATTTCCAGTTTTATACTTTTATATCATTGGTACTCCCCAAGTACAGTAGACGTAAATGTTCAAAAATTGAATAGTCTTCAGATTATTCTTAGGGTAGGGTTCACTTGGGGAGTTGGGGTAGTTCAAATCGCACGAGCACAGGCTCCACGCCTCTGCTAAATTAACAACGACTTCTATACCTCCCTAATCTGTTGTGTAATACCTAAGTCGGCCGCACCGCCGCACTTTTAATCCATCGCGAACCAGAGTTGATTGCTTTTTTTAAAACGCACAACATCGGTTATCAATCGCACAAGTAATAAAACTGTGTCGTTTGGGATCGGCACACCATGCTCATGGTGGGTCGATCCCACAGTATAATTTGCGGAAGCAAAATCAGAATCAGTTTGCAGAAGCTGGTCACCCCCAGCTTCTAAAAAAACTTATTCTAGGAGTAAATTAGAGCACCAGAATCACTTCTGCAGTTTCATCCAAACACTCCAGCTTCTGTTTCTGCTCCCTGCAGGAGCAGAATCAGTTTTAAGAATCAGATCCAAACACCCCCTAGTATGAATCTAGGGGGAGTATATATACTTATATCTATGAACACACGTGTCAATGACATTTAGGATGTTTTTAATTGAATTGATTTTGGTCCAAATAGATTTAAGCAATTCATACCAGATCAGACTAAACTAAATTCAAAGAATAGTAGATACAATTTTATCGGTCGCTCACTAGACCACACTTAAACATACCTGACCGGAATATCTTTTTCAAATTTTTACATACTACCTCCGTCCCTTAAAACTTTGCCAAAGTTGACCGGCATGGAGAATAATAAAGTAAAAACTGTGTGATCGAGGTTTGTGCAGAGAAGAGAGAAATAACAGAAATCACAAAATAATTGATTAAAAAGGAAAGTGACAAAGTTTTTTGGGACGTCCCAAACAGGAAATATGGCAAAGTCTTAAGGGACGGAGGGAGTATGTAATATTAATGTCATATGAATCATAAAAAAATATTTAATTTGATACTACGTATGTTTTTATAAAAATCGGAGCACCAATAAAAAAATAACATTTTATAAAAAAAAAAAAAAAGTGTTTGTCACATGACAGCAAGTTATTGGAAGAATTAAACATCAATTTCAATTAATTTTAATTAAAGAAATGATAAGGCCAATTTAATCTAGCCATGGTTACGTAAATTAAAACTGGACGTGTCCAAAGCAACCCCTTTTTATATTATACTTTTGTAACAATTTTAAATAATATTTTTCCCAACTATATACTTCTTAAAAATCGTGAAAAACCTAAGAGGACAGCTATTAGAGAACGGAGGGAGTGTATAGTAAAAAATGACGTCAAGCACAAAATAAATTAAATAAGAGATTGGAAGAACATGTTATTAGAATTATTTTTATATGTTGCATACATACACACACATATATAGATCAATATGTGTTATGAGCAATGTTCTAAAACTCGCTAGGCGCTAGTCGGGCGGCCAAGCACCGCCTAGCGCATAGGGCGACTAGGCGCCGATTAGTCGGCGACTAATCGGCCAACTCGGTTTCAACATAATACCATAAAATAAAAATATTCTTGGAAAAAAATACTACATTTAACAAAAAAAAAAGTTTAAAGTTTAAACACAATAAACATATTTTATATTACCTAGTATAATAAAATATTATAAACATAATACACATAATATGCACTTGAAGAGTCCATATCTAACAAATAAAAGATTAACCAATAACCACTGATTAGTACAAATGGGATATGCAAAATAGTTATAGTTGATCAATGAAAATCTATAATCACTAGCTCAACATAAGTTCATTGAAGTAACCAATAATTTTTTAGAGATAAAAAATTAATTATTTAAACATTAATGGAGTGAACCTCATTCCTCTTAGCTTGAAAATAATCAAAATATGAACCACTTAGAGCTTTAGAAACAAACCAAATTAGAGCCACTTAGTTAATCAAAGTGAATAACACAAATAATTTACACTGTTGAAGGACACTAATAACCCACGCAAGTACTATACGGACTAATAAAACAAACAACCTTTTTAAAAAGTTCAACCCACACAAATACAGACTTAGCAAATCCCACATACTTGCAACAATGCCGTTCTTATCTAAATGACACCCAATCCCACAAACTTGCAAGTTGCAACACAACTTATTGCATACCTTGTTGAGTTGTTGCTAATGAAAACATAGGCTGACACTACTGAAAAACAAAGTAATTGAAATACATTACTAGTAAAAGTTTTCATTTCTTCTTTGAGGCATTGTATCAAACACTATACCTGCATTCCAAGTTCCTATCAATATTAGGTTTTAAATTTCTCAATCTACATACAAACTACTCCAGATATCTCTTAATAACAACTTAACAAGTGAAGTAACGTAACTATGATAAATTTAGCTGGACAATCTGGACAGTCTTAATAGAAAAATCAGTATGGACTGATTCAATATCTTTACTTGGATAGTTTGGACTACTGGACACCGGAGAGTGGAGAAGCTAATTCAATACTCAACAAAGAAGGGAATCCGAAAATGGAAGAGAAGAAGTCTCATCACCAGGCCGCCTTTCCATTGAAGAGAAGAAAGTATTAGGTCTGGCCAGTAAAGAAAGAGCACACCAATTTTGCTTAGTGGACTGGGTGAAGAGTTGTAAGAGTCGTTCTCATTTTCCGTAAAAAAAAGTCAAAATGCAGCTCGTTTTTAAAAGTTCTGGGGCGACTAAGATTCAACCTAGGCGGGCCGCGGGCGGATTTCCGGCAATTACTCGGTCTGGGCGGCCGATTAATCGCCAGAGCGACTTTAGGACCGAACATCAGGAAATCTCTACGGCAGGAAGACGCCAAGCGAATTTCCGGCACCTAGGCGACCGATTTTTCCGAGTTTTAGAACCCTGGTTATGGGTGTGCAGACATGAAGTTGCGAATATTTTATCAATCATTTGCTAAATAGATGTAGTTTTATTAAATTAGTTTGGTTCCTTCAAATAGTTAAACAAAATAGCTTAATGTTTCAACTAATTATTATTAGAGCATCTTTTACAAATCATTGTCATATCATATTCACTTAATAAATTCTAAATAATCTCTAAATTCAAAACTCTTCATCAACAATGATACTCAAATAAATAGCTTTTCTGGAAAATTTAATATTTTAACTATAATCTAAAATGCTCTGCATTTGAATAATGATAATCTTTATTCTTTAAATAAATAAATGAATTAAGAGACCCTTAATCGGGAGAAATGTTCAAATGTTATTCTCAATTAATAATATTCACAATAATAATAACGTATTACAATAATGGGTATTAATTACAATAACTGATCGACCCTTAGCTCTTTATCTCTGATATAGAGATGTAATAAAGTAGCATCAAACCAGGATTTCTATTAGTTCACTTCAATCTCATAATCTGCCTTTGAACTTACATGGCTACATCATCCACTGGGGATACCAACATGTAACCAACGGCGTAAGGCACATGTGTAGTCTGAATTGATTTCTATGTACGCTCTGGAGAACCACAACTGCACAATCCATTGACATCAAATAAGCACGTCTGGTCAATAGTCATTTGTTATGAGCTAATGTGAAATTGCATCTTCAGGGAGGAATGTCCGTTAATAAATATTTAGAACAGTTATTTAAGAGACTAGTCTGTTAGTTATAATAAATAGCTTCTTTCCTTCTGTGTATATAACCAGTTCCCTGATGTAGTTGAAGGACAACATTCATCTTCTTCATGCTCTTGTCTGATCATTTCTTCTTTGTGCATAAACTATTAGTTTGAATTCTATATTCTCACTATTGAATTCCTACTCTTAGTTTGGTAAATCCTGCAGTTAACCCGGAATCATACCATCATTTTCAGACAAACAATTCTATTTCTGGGCTTTGCGGGCCAGAAAACGTGCCCTCGCAGCTTGAATCCTGTTGTCAAGCTCCTCTGGGGGTTCAGCATGAGTGGCAGCATCTTTTCTTCCCAAACCTGACCGTGTTTCTTCGATTATCTCTTCCCTGTGATAGGATCCACCACTGCCAAGACAGCCACAAGGCGGGTCAATAATAATAATAATAGTAATAAAATAAACATAAAATATGAAAGGAGTGGCTCTTTCGAAGTTTGACTCACCTTAGTTTTTTTACGTTTAGATTCTTAAGTCTTTCCAAGACAGGCAACACCCATTGCATCTCAACTGCACATACATTACGCATATACGGGCGTGTTGTGGATATTAGCTCGTGATATACCACATAATTTGAGAGCATTCCATCATCATCTGCTTTCAATACTGAAGATGGATGGACCTGCATGACAAAAGCAGATACAGCATGAGTATGCATATATATAATCTGCACAAGCCCCCATCTGGTTGGTCAATCTGAATCAGCTAAATTTTCTGAATGCAAGTGTGGTCGAATGATCAAATCAATTTCATCAGAATAAGCACGTCAAAGGCTATTCGCCTAACTGCCTAGGGCCTACTACAGTTCGAATCTCTCTCTATATATATATATATAGGGGCGGGATCACATACAAACTAGTCCTCTCATGCTAACCTACAAACTGCGCATCTTTACATTATTTGTATTGCATATTGAAGTTCAAAGTGTTGCATATTATTCAAGCCATAAAATAGCAGTTTCATATTTACATTATTTGTATTGCATATTGAAGTTCAAAGTGCGCATCTTTACATGATTTGTATTGCATATTGAAGTTCAAAGTATTGCATATTATTGAGTTTGTAAGTTAGTAAATTAAGCATGGTTTGTATTTGATTTCTAATCTATTTATATATATACATATATAGTTACATATATATAGTTACATATATACATATATACATATTGGGTTGGATTCTAATAAGAAAACATCTTAACGTGAGAAATGCGAGGTTTCACATTTACTCCTTTTAGATGTACTTTATCGTTAAATCTAATGCACTTTTTGTGATGACAAAAAAGTTTCGGTTAATTACGGAACGGTCACCGCATCTTGGATCACTTTTTTTTTTAGTGTTTTTGGCACTTTTCCCCCCATTAGATCTCAAATTTCAACGCCCCAGATGCATTCTGATTTCTTACAATAAGCAATCTTCTCATTTGATCCTTATTCTATATATACACAAAGGTGAGTTCTAATACAAAGAGATCTTCCTACGAAAAGTGAGAAGTGATGCAAGCTCTTGTCAGTTACAAATGAATGGAATAGATTAAATTTGTGGTGGCAAAATTATAAATATACGGAAAACCTAAATGTTCAATACTTAATAGTAAAAGTGCATATGCGATATGTAAGGGTGCACATCCAACAACATCCAAGCCTTAGTGCCAAAAGATTTTTGGGGTCGACTAACATGAATCGATATGATATCGTAACCAAAAGAAAAAGAAATATAAGAAAGATAAGCTATGATAATACATATATATACATATATATATATATATATATATATATATAAAGAGATGGATATACATAAAAATGATAGAACAAAAAGGATAAAAAGAATATATGTATACATATACATATATATAAAAAGCATTTCAGCCCAGCTGGTTGTGAGGTTACCGTGCTTAGTGGGAGGTCTCGAGTTCGAAACCCGCTAGACACATTAGGGTTCGAAACTCAATGGAGTGAGTTTCAACCCTGATTACTCCAGGCCCCCCAGACCCCATGGAGTAAAAAAAACATATACATATATATAAAGATAAAAGGATAAAAAAACAAGAATGAAAAAGAAGATGAGGGGTAAAAGATGATAGGAGATCACTCCTCCACACGAATACTGATAGGGACCCGAGTACTACAAATAATTAGAGTCTTATTAAGTATTTTAATGTTTTCCAATAATAGGGTTCCAGGCCCAATAGCCTAAGTGAGGGCTGGCCCTTTTAGTGAGTTTTATTATAAAAGAGGGGTAGGGGAAAGAATAACGCAAGCTGAAACTTGGGAACTGGGATCGGAACTGGGAGTGAGAGACCACTCGAAGAGTCTCAAACCTTTTCTTTCATAATTTTCTGTATTCCAACCTTTAATCTTCATTAATACACTGCTTTTATCTACTGGGATTCCTCTGTTACCTATCATTGGTATCAGAGCCAGTCACTGCACCTATATATGGTCCGCACTCGATCGAACATGGAGCAGAGGATTGATAACCTAGAGAGATCTTTTGAGCGGTCCATGGCCGATATGCGCACAGAGATGCTGTCAATGATGGATGAACGGATGCAGACACTGCTAGCGAAGATGGAAAGTCTCGAGACCCAGGGAAATCGCAGGAAAAGAAGAGGACGATCAGCCACCCCTCGCCGGCGCCACACTTCAGCCAGTGTGAGTTCATCCAGTTCGGGAGGTAATTCTCACGATTCTAAATCCGTTTCTCGTACTCCTGAGCATACGAGAATTAACGATCGGGTTTATACCGGAAGAAAGGTGGATTTACCTTTGTTTAGTGGAAATGATGCTTACGGTTGGCTTCTCAGGGTCGAACGCTATTTTAAATTAAATCATGTATCGGAGGGTGACAAAGTGGAAGTTGTCTTGATAGCCATGACCGAAAGGGCTCTGAACTGGTATCAATGGTGGGATGAACAGACTGATGACCACTCCTGGGGTAATTTTAAGGAAGCTTTGATCAGACGCTTCCAGCCGGAATTGGTTCAGAACCCGTTTGGCCCTATGCTCAAAATTAAGCAAACTAATTCAGTCATGGAGTACAGGGATCATTTCGAAAGGGTTGTAGCTCCCTCAAAATTGCTGACCCAGAGATGCTAAAAGGAGTATTTTTTAATGGCCTCAAAGAAGAAATTAGCTCAGAGCTGAAGTTGCACCGGCCCACTGGGTTAGCTGATCTTATGGACACAGCCCAGCTAGTTGAACAGAAGAATAAGGTATGGACAGGAGAAACAAATAAAGAAGAAGACAACAAAGGCTTGAAGGAACAGGGAGGAAAACTTGTCAGAGCCTGGAATGGGGTGGAAGCGACAAAGGGAAGAACAACTGCTCCGGAGAGAACATTCTCGGAGAACAAACTGGAGGAATCGCCACAACCAAATAAGACATGGGAGAATGGCCAAAGGTTGACACAAGCGGACTTAGAAGAAAAAAGCAAGAAGGGCCTGTGTTTCAAATGTGGAAACAAATGGGGCAAAGAGCATGTATGTGGAATGAAAAATTGTCAACTTATCTGGATGGAAGAGCCAGAAGAAGAGAAGGGAACAGAAGATCAGTTATATGAAAAGGATGAAGCTGAAAACCTGCTGAAACCCAATGGAAAATCAGTCTCTTATCATCCACCTTGAGGACAAGGTGGAAGTTCAGGGGGGGGAGTGATGATAGGGACCCGAGTACTACAAATAATTAGAGTCTTATTAAGTATTTTAATGTTTTCCAATAATAGGGTTCCAGGCCCAATAGCTTAAGTGAGGGCTGGCCCTTTTAGTGAGTTTTATTATAAAAGAGGGGTAAGGGAAAGAATAACGCAGGCTGAAACTTGGGAACTGGGATCGGAACTGGGAGTGAGAGACCACTCGAAGAGTCTCAAACCTTTTCTTTCATAATTTTCTGTATTCCAACCTTTAATCTTCATTAATACACTGCTTTTATCTACTGGGATTCTTCCGTTACCTATCAAATACCCGCCCTCCACTTTGCTCTCTCCAAAGCCATACTCTCATCCAACCCAAGAAGAAGCATATCACTTCTGACTCCTATAATACACGTTTGTTTGGGTTTTCCTCTCCCTCTCTTCCCTGTCTCTTCTCCACACATCTCAACTCATCTGACAGGTGCATCACTTGGTCTTCTACGCACATGACCAGACCACCGCAAGCGAGACTCCCACATCTTATCTTCAATAGGTGTTACTCCCACCTTTTATCTTCAATAGGTGCTACTCTCACCTTTTGTCTCATTACTCACGCGATCTTTTCTAGTACAGCCACACATCCAACGCAGCATGCGCATCTCTACCACACTCATCTTTTGAATGTGACATTGTTTCACTGTCATACAATAATGTAGGTCTAATTGTTGTCCTATAAAATTTACCCTTCAGTCTAGTCGGCATACCTCGACCGCATAGAAACCCTGACGCACTCTTCCATTTCATCCACCATGTTCTGATTCTATGGGATATATCTCCATCTAATTCATTATACTTCATATTACAATTCATTTCATGTGATGTGACTAGGTGATAATGTTGACCGTCACGAGCTACCACAACACTCTCCTCCTTTATCTTGGCTTGGGACAAGCATGATACCAAAAAATGATCTCATGGCAGAGTTTAAAGGTGCACATCCACCTCATTAAAAAATATCACATTTTAATTGTTACTCCCTCCGTCCCATTTTACTTGTCTTAGTTCTCTTTTTGGTTTGTCCCAAAACTAAATGTCACATTTCCTTTTTCTGAAGGAAATATGTGATATGTAGCATTTCACTTTATTATACTCAAATCTCAACCACAACTTTTACTTTTTCAACTACTTCATGTATGCCAACCCAAAGTAGGACTTTCAAAAATTAATGCACTTTTGTGTTATTCAAAGACACTTTTTCTCCATACTCGTGCACATTTATCACTTCATTTTCAAAAAAACCAATATTTACACTTTTGCCACCGTGTTTTCACTTTAAAATTAATCTAGTTCGCTTGATGTCTCATTTTAATGGCTAAAATTACTTCTCATTTTTCATATGAATACTTTGAATTTGAACCTCCATATATATAGGGGTCCAGTTTCGGTAAGAACAACTATTCCCTTGAAAAATATCCAAACGATGCAGATTGTGGTTCATGGCGGTGCATGTTTATGATTACGATAATGCGCGTTCAAATTGACAGAAAAAAAAATTGATTTATTTACAAAAATGACAACACAAATTCTAATTTATGAAAGTGCACATTTCTATTTCACATAATGCTCGATACTCTAATCGAATGCAACAAATTTGTTCTCACTGTTTTCCTTTAGATCGCATTCTCATTTGATTCTATATATAAGGAAAGTTCCAATAAAAAAAAGTGATTTTCCCGTGTAAGGCGCGAATAATTGCGCTTATTGTCATACACAGTGCATTATTGCCTTCAAACGATGCAATTTTAGAAATGACGGATTTTTTTACTTAATTATGAATATGACCCCGCGTTTTTATCAATTTGAATACTTTGTTGGAAAATTTAGAGTCATCTGATCATAAATTGAATGCGCAAAATATATTCTTACTTTTCATATGAAGTGTACTTTTTATTTGAACTCATCCCTCTAATAAAAAGAGGTCTTAATGTGAAAAGT